ATAACCCCAATATATCCCCTATATGATCCCTAGAGTTTCCATTTTCTTTTCCATTATCCCCATATATGTGCTATGTACAAGTTCAGGCATCACTGGTGCACTCCTTGGAGTCCCAGTCTTCGGTCGGCGTGTTGAACCAAAGCCTTGCACGCCCCATGATGAGGGCTGCCAGTGCAACACGATTGTTTGTGCGCTTTTTTTGGTCAACAGGGTTTCTGCAACAGGCTCTAGAGTTGGAATTCTAGGCCGCACTTGTACGCCCTTGGCCTTTGAGGGTATCCTAAGGCACTTCAACGATCTAAAAATACATACATGGCAGGCAGGTAGTCAACATTCTGGTCCCTTTCTGGGTCCTCATTATGGAACGGCCCCTAATGTTCAGCGTAATTACCCCCAAACAGGGACCATAATTTTGAGAGCCCACTATATGTATACATACCAGTAAATAGACATTGGCGACCAAAGCTCAGAACCCAGGATTAAGGGCCCATACTAGGGGCCAATGGCACTAACCTCGCCTTGGCTATGGCGATCAATTGCTTGTTGGAATGGAGTCTACCTTAGGAGGACCCCCCACCCTGTAATGGTGGTATAGTAAGAATGTAAGAGGACCCTAATATAATCCCTATTATCCCTTATAGTCACTACCCTAAACCCTAAACCATAAACCCTAATCCCTATTATCCCTTGTAGTCACTATTCCTGGGTGGGGGGTCCACCTAAAGTCTACCTCTCATGCCGCAGCCTCCAAACCTCAAACCCATGCGGCCAGCAGATAGGGTTGGGGTCATATTGGGGTCTATAAGGGTTGTATAGGAAGAATGGAAAAGAACATGGAAACTGCTATAGTATATTAGGGTTTAGGGATGACTGGGGCCAAAAGAATTCAAGTCTCACCCCACTTCAGACCTCGTCCTAGTCGCCGCGGTCATCCTTATCTTGTTTTCTTTCTACACGCAATTCCACTACGTTTCCCAAACTCCGCCACAACTCGCCTGAGCAGTAATTTGACAAACCCCAGAATTCCTCCCGCATACTGAAGTGTCATGGTCATGAGAGATCCCAAGAATCGCCACTGGAATTAATCCTGATAGTAGCTCAGCAGCCCTTACATAACCCCCGATAAGATGAAAATTTCGCTTCTCTTTTCCATTTCCAAAAACAGCACGTGCCTCTTCAGGCTTTTGCCAAGACCTGGGAGGGAGCGCAGTTCACCAGCGTCCTCGCCGCAAATTCAGAAGTTTAGGGTTCAGGGACCTCCCCCAAGAATGAAACCTCATCCTTAAATAAGCCTGGTGACATTCTAATCCATCTTAGTAGGATGTGGGTGTTAGGCTCCAGAAAATCTAGGGAGGGTTCTGGGATTCAGGGGTAACCCTGACAAATCAAAGAACGAACGTTCGATTCTGGTAGTACGGGTGGCTTTTGTGCACGTCGAGGGATGGCGCTCAGCAAAACTTGTAAGAACTCTTCCAGGCGCCCTGGCCTTGCTTGCAGTCCCAATTACAGACAAATCATAGTGCTGATAGAAGAAATCCTGCACCACTTTGGCCCCTTAACTCCTGGAAAGTGCGACACTTTAGGGGTTTTGGGTGGGTCTACATCAAAAAGAGGCCCAGCTTGGAGTTCGCAGACATCCTCATTTGATGCGGGAGCGCAGATTTCAGTTCATTGTGAGCTTTGTCAGAGTCGGGGGTGGTGCCACTGTACCACTTTAGCGTCTGCCGCGCCTGCTGGCTGGAAATCCGTGTCCTCGCAGAGCACGCTTGCTTGGAATCGCCTCACTTCTGCAGCGACAGATCTCCAGCTTTGGTTCGGTAGCTTCCAGGTGTCGGCCAATCAGTTGCCCAGCTTCCCTTGCCATCAAAGACGGGCTGAGGCACAAGCAGCTGTGCACTTTCAACTCGTGAGGGGAACAGGACTCCATCCAGGTGATCGAACTCGTGCTGCGCAATCCGCGCAGGCAAATCCTTGAAGTGCACTTCGCCAAGCTCACCACGCTCGTTAAGGCCCATCAGGCAAATTTCCCTGGGTCGCTCAACCCAGCCTCGCATCCCGGGCACAGACAGGCAGCCTTCCCACATCCAGCTCGTCTCCTGCGCAAGGGTTTAGGGGAATAACCGGGCCACCCCGAGGCATCTGTAGCACAGGTATATTTCGGGAAGTGTGTTAGGGTCTTCCTTAAGCAGCTTGCAGAGGGGTCATTTTGACATTTTGATAAACTCCCGCTCCTTGCTAAACCAAGTGATTTCAGGATTGATCCAGTACTGGAAAGGCACCGGGGGCGCAGCAGGATAACGCGGATTGCCGTCTTCAATGCCGAAGCACATCGCGCGGACCCACCATCCAATCTGCGGCGCTGCGATTCCAATTCCTCCGTACGTGCGCATAGCCTCCCGCAGGATTTTCAGGCGGCTCTGAAACTCTTCAGCCTTCACCAGCTCCTTCACCTTCGGTTGGGGCTGCATGAGCTCAGGATCACCCAGGTATCTTAACGGGGGAATTGCAGAGCCTTCCATCGACTGCGAGCAAACGGCTGTCCTGCTCCGTCCGCCGCTTGCCCCAGTCATGGCAGGAACAAAGCCAGCAAAGTCTCTGCAGAAGTGGCTGAACATCCAGGCAGTGAGGCAGCATATCAGCATGCCAGTTTTGCACAAGGCTCTGGATTCTTGTCTTGGCGCCATGAATGCCCAGCGTACTGGCAGAGCCCTATGGCACATAAACTGACGCTGAAGCCAGGCTCAAATCATGCTTCAGCTCCCGAGCCATACCCCGTCTCAACTGCTACTGGCGCAAGTCTCAACGCCGAAAGACCAAAACAATTTCCAACAAATGACTTGTGGCAGACACCCTGCATTTCATTCTTTGCAGGGTCCGAACCTGGTTCAAGGCATACTTTTTGATGAAGCGTGATCCGCAAGGGCAGAAAAAGTCGCAAAACCTGGAAACAAGGAACGTGGTCTCTCCCACATACTGCTGATGGAAGAAAGCCTGCACCCCACAAAGTAATTACCCTTCACCATGGGAGCTACAATAGCTCAGTGATCCAACCTGCAGGCTATGCAAGGTTTCCGGGAAACCACAGCACTTATTGCTGCTGTGATATCATATAAGTAGAATACTGCAAGATTACTCTATTCCTCTACTTCTCTATTACTCTATCACTATATTAAAAACAATAGTTTTATGTACTATCTTACTGTATTACTAACTCACTAGATTTCTTGTACTTCTATTTCTTTTACCATTATCATCCCCGATGCCAGGACCGTAAACCCTAAATCCAGCACCCTGAACCTCAAAGCCTAAACCCTGAACCCTAAACCGTAAACCCTAAACCCCAAATCCTACACCCTAAACCCTAAACCCTAAACCCCTAAACCCCAAACCCTAAACCCCTAAACTCTTAAATCCGAAGAGGTCCTTAGCAGCCTGCAGCCCCGCAGGGGAGGCGAGGACCGCACCCAGGGCCGAGAGGAGGAGACCTAAGCAATGTAGGGTTTCGGGTTTAGGATATGGGGTTTAGGGTTTAGGGTTTGGGGTTTAGGGTTTAGGGTTTAGGGTTTAGGGTTTAGGGTTTGGGGTTTGTGGTTTACGGCTTAGGGGGGGATGTATATGGGTGATATAGGGATAATAAAGGGTTCTATAGGGATATTGTAGGGTTTTATAGGGATATTATAGAATTTGTTAGGGATATTATAAGATGGTATAGCGATACTCTAAGGTTTTATAGGGATATTAAGGTCTAGGGTTTAGGGTTTGGCGTTTAGTTTAGGGTTAAGGGTTTAGGTTGGCAACTGCCCCGACCCAGTAACAGTCTATAACAAACGACAAAATTGAGGGCCTGATATATTCCTATTATATTCATTACTCAACTGCTACTAGTTGGGGGCAGTAGCAAATGCATGGGTGATATAAGGATATTACAGGATTTTACAAGAGAATGATCAGGATTAGAGAAAGATATTCTGGAAAATTTCCAAGAGCAGGAGACCTGAGCAGCTGGGGATTGCCAATTGAGCTGTTTAACTAAGAGGTAAACAGGGGTATATAGAGGTTAAATGAAGGTTAGATAAGGGTTATATCGGCGTTATATAGGATTCATATACGCGATGGGGCTTCCGTAGGGTTTAGGGACATACCCCCTCCAATAATTCAATCAGAAAAGAAAATTCACAATGATAAGGAAACTATTTTTAGGGTTTAGGCTGTAGGATTTATGGACTTGAGGTCTTTGGCTGGAGGTTGTATGATTTGGGGATGAGAGATTAAGTTGTGAGGATTCAACTTGAGGGAGTGAGAGGCTGTTTCTAATATGTACTTCGGCCAGATAGGGCTTAGTCAGGTTTCAGGTTTACTGCACATGGCGTTTGGGATTTAAAAGCTCTTGACTGGAGCCTATTCAAGGCAAGGGAAGAAGGTCAATCATCTAGGGCTTAAAGGATGTCCAAAGTCCAAAGCTTCCTAGTACCTACAGCTACGGGGACATTGGCTTTGCAAACGCAACTTGCCAGAGGCACATCGCGAGCCCCTAATACCCGGCAAGGAATAGCGCGGCAAGCTTAAAGCCATGCTGCGTAAAGCATCGACCACGGCTGAGGCAGTGTCCTGCATGGAGTAAAAGGACCTTTTTGCTCCCACCCCCTAAAAAAAAGGTTCCTGCGATGCTTCAAGACATCACTGCCAACACAAACAAAACCCTTCGCTTAGCAGGCTCCTCGGCCGATCCAGGCTGCCGGAGCCAGCGAGTGCCATCCTCCGGCTGAAGGACCACTGGGGGAGGGTTGCAGGACGTCACAGTACATGCATCCCCGTAAATAACCCCTACAATGGAGAATCAAACGGAAAAGAAAATGGAAAATGAAACGGAAACTGGGATTATATAGGGGATTAAAGGGGTTATAGTCTTGCAGGGAAGGCAAAGCAAGGCAGGGCGGGAGAGGGCAGGGCAAAGAAGGCGGGGCCGGGCATCCTGGAAGGCACAACATACGACAACCAAACCCTATTGGCCTCCATCCATCTGGTCAGCCGTGGGATGCCAGGGAGCTTAGTGGCAAATCTGCTGCTTACTTTTTGAAGCTTCCTATGGTAATTTTGTCAAGGCTTGTCGGACAAAGCAGGGTTTAGGTGCTGAAAAAGTACCGTCTCGGGGTCAGGGTGTACAGTGGCAATGTTGCAGGTGCTTGTCGGTACAGGAGCTAAGGCAGCTAGACTGTTCACAGACATGCTGCAGCCGTTGCTGGCTGCCTGCCTTCAAGCTGCGTGTCTGTGTTCAAGGTGCTAACGCATAGCTGATTCGAGCCAACCAGTCATGACACCTTTAACCTTCGCTTGTGGAAAGGCTTCAAACTTAGGACTTGGTCGTGGTGGGAAGTAAATGCCCAAGATGGGCGGATTCAGCCTGTAAAGACCACTAAAAAGGAAGAGAAAAGGAACCCCCAAACTCGAAACATGACCGTTACTGGCCTGGGCTGACAACCATCCCTGACAAGGTCGGGGCAACAGAATAAAATTTGCTGCCGACTGACTTTCTTGGGATAAGACATGTTCGTTCATGATTGCAGTTGTAGAGGAGGCGAACCATGCGTAAGCTCTAGGCCCTAGTCATCCGATGTTTCATTCAAAGTGCCACCTGTACCGTAACAGTACAGTGGTCACGGCAAGAATAGTACATTATAAATTAACATGGCAATGCCAAAAGTATAGAAGTAACAGGAAAATGCGAGTGATTTCAATTGTACTGACAATCGTCGTTGTAACCTGACCAGACGATGCATCCGCATCCTTGCCTGGCAAGCTTGGCCTTCAGAGCCTCGCACATGCATTGCCTGCAAGCGGAAAACATTGGCGTCTGTCATTTGAGAGGTCCCATCAACAGCAAGCCCCGCTATAGGCCCGGATGTGATACAATCCTTGTTACAGAGTCAGGAACTCCCAACAATAAAAATGGGCCCCTCATTTTGGAAACCGCCTTTAAGATGGTGCACAGTCTGAAGTTGGTGGCTGCTGCTAAGGGTTATGAGAAAAGCTTGCAGATTTGGGCCACAATAACACATAGAAGAGCGCTGAGACCGGGCGACGGTAGCGATGTTGAGACTTCACTGTACAAAGTGCGTGCTTTTAGTGGGGTGGAAGAGAAATGAGTCTGCCACCAGCCCAGAACACTCCCAAAGACGTAGCCTCTGAGGCCCTGCAGCCCGGAAGCCACCCCCTGCGATGGCGGCCATTTGCCTGAAGTCTTGAAGGGACATCAAGAAAAAAGAGCTGAAGAGGCGAACGCTGCAGCTGCAGGCTCCCAAGGCCGAAGGTTGGGTTGGATGCTTCTATATACTTCAGGTTTAGGCGCCCTCAGAAAAATCATATGAAGAAAATTTAGGATAGAGAAGGATGCTCTCACCTCCCAACCTTACGAAATGCCCCACTGTTTCCACGCGGAGCCAATACGCCGATGCTGGTGGAATGTGGAGATTCCCGACGCAAGGAACCCCACCGAAAAGGTGAAAGGATGACATCTGTAGCACCAGTATCGTCATAAGCGTTCTAATAATTTGTCAGACAGTTCTTACATTGTTGCTATCAATTACTTCTTGCCGTTACACCGCGTTGCCTGCGCCGCAGAGGCACCACATCCGCCTGATATCTCGCAAGCTCCTGAACACTCTTAGCAGCAGAATCTGTGGCGTTGATTGGTGTCATTGTCACTGTTGGCATCATCCAACGTTCTGCACACGAATACTCTGATTTTTATATACCTTTAACACTACTACCGGCATTTGCAAAAGATCATTTTTGTAAAGCGCAGTCTTACCAGGGCAACCAAGTCCAAGCCGGTGATACATGCCGTTGCACGAAACATTGGTGGGCGCTGCATTTGCCACCGTTCGTCGTAATTGTCACGTTGCAGCTGCTGAGATGCTGCTAAAAAGCTTGCTCTGCTAGATGCTCTGCAAGCTATAACTGACCCAAACTGCTTTGGTGTGACGGCGCTCCTCGCGCAATCTTTGGTTCTCCTCCTCGAGGGCATTGGAAGGCTCCGCGCCTCTATACATAGATCTTGGACCGACTAGTGGCTAGTGACTCAAGCAATCAGTTGCACTAGTGCCCTGCGAATTAAGCTCGACTGGAAACCTCTTGCCTGCTCTCCAACTCCACGCCTGCCGCAGAATCTGCCACGCTGCCAGCACTGCTCGTCCGCTGGAGCGACCTGTGCTGGGCAAGCAGCACAGCTATGCAGAGCTGTGGTGTGGTAGCGGGATAATATAATACAATATTATAGTATGATATAGTACACTGTAATGGAATGGAATACAATTTGGTATAATATAATGCAATATAATAGTATATAGTTCTATATTATATAATATGAAAGATTACCTCATAAATTTCTTCGCGAGATGATGGAGGCATCACATTGCGCAGTTGGGCCCATGAAAGGCCAGCTCTCAGCCTCTGAATGCATTCTGCATCATCGGCATGGCGAGCCAAATAAGCTTGCATTAACCTGTACGCCTGCAATATGGCAGCTGAGTATGCAGGATGCCAAATACAGGATTATATAGGGATTATGCAA